TCGAGCTGTCACACACCCCACACCTCTACCTCAGACAGAAGGGTTGTTGGCAAGAAACAGAGGGAGAAATTCAGGGAGGCCCGGTGCTGCTCCCCTGGGGGGAGAAGGGACAGTTGGAGGTTGGCAGTGATGGGAGCTGGAAGGGAAACCAAAGGTGAAGAATGAGGATGGGTTCCAAGACCGGAAATGATGGGAGGGGCAGGGAGGGGAGGACAGAGCAGCTGGCCGGGAAGGGCCCATGGTCTCAAATGGCAGGTGGCCAGGGGGACCAGGGAGGCAGGGACACCTGTAGGATTAAAGAGTGGCTGACCTCGGAGATCTGCCCTGATGCCAACATTTGCTGTCCCACGAACACACACTGCACCGTTCCATGTGCAGACCCCACTGCGCGTGGGGAGGACCCTGGCCCCATAGTCTCCAAGCACCTCACATTTACACCGTAACATTACTTCCAATGAAGGAATGCGGTGCGGCCCAGGATGGAGCCAGGAAGAGAGATGGTCCTCACCCGGCTTTTAAACCCAGGTCCTGCCCGGCTCTCGGAGTCTGTCAGTCATTACCAATTAGTGTCTGCAGCAATCCTGTAATTATCCCGTGAGCAGCACAATTATGCTTCATTGTACTTCTGCACACGTTAAAAGCATCAATTTACTCAATGTAAACATTAAGAATATATAAACCACAGGGTTTATAACTCTGTTTTGGCATTTTCCTTGTTTGAAATACACAGAACCCTAGGAAAAAGAAGCAGCCTGGAGCCTCTCTCTGGCTCCTCAGAGAGGCCCCCCAGAGTCCCTCCTCCCTGGACGCCCCAAATGCTACCCGTCTGATCAGAAGAGTCTGTTTTGCTCTGATGCTTTTTTGCATGGCTGGGGGAGGCTTGGGAGAGATCCAGGAGGATCTCTGTCCCCCACCCAGCCAGCCTTCTCCTCCGTGCCAGAGAATAAACATTCATTATGGCCTCTAGCCTGGGGCTCTGATTCGGGCCTCTGGGCAAAGAGGGCCAGACTGCACCACGAAGGGATTCCCCACACTGGCCCCCCCCCATTTTTTGGCATGCGTCCTCTGGGGGCCACCTCCAAGCAAGGACAGGGAAAACCAGGGCGGTGTGACCAGACCCGGAGGGTCAGGACAGAGAGCAAGCTTGCTAAGGTGACGGGTCAGGGTGGGGAGCTAGTCCATCAGAGTTGGCGGGGCGGGGAATCTATAGCACATCCTGGGTTAGGGGACTTCTAAGGGTTCCCTGGGCTGGGGCACACAATTACCCCAAACACAAATATTTCTCTACACGGTCCACACAGCACCTGGGGGAAATTCATCACCCCACATGCCCACCCCCACTGGCTCTCCTGGGCGGACTTAACCTCCTGGCAGCTCAGATACTGGCAAACCTCCTCTTTGGGGGGGTGATTTCCCCCTCTATCAGCAAGGTTAAGTAGAAACCCGCTGCTTGGCCTCAGCTGGAGCCAGACACCTGGCAATGGGGGTAGAGGAGCCCCAAGTTCATCATCCTAGCCATCCCAGGCCCTGGGTGACCTTCAGGCCCCTCTTCAAACCTTCCCAGGCTGATAATTCCATGCCCCCTTCTCTACGTATCACAGACCGGATGGACGGGAAGTTCTTCCTTACATCTATTTCTAAACCAACTTGCTGCAGAATAAACTTCTGTTTTCTAGTTTAGTGACTCTCCGTAGTTACGTCCCTAGTCAAGACCGATGCCCAGGATGAAGGCTCCCAAAGGGCTGTTGAGTGGGGGTCTCTCAAAATGCTCACTCAGGGAGCGCCTGAGTGGCTCAGTTGGTTAAGTGTGTGACTCTTCATCTCTGCTCGGGTCTTGATCTCGTGATCATGGGTCCGAGTCCCACATTTCAAATAAAATAATTAAAAATGCTCACTCAGGACCCCAAAGTGGCACCCCCTTCCAGAGTCAACCAGAGCACCGCAGCCGTGGCCAACCCAGGCAGCTTCCTCGCCCTCTCCAGCTGGGCCAGGGCCCGAATCGGAGGATGCTGAGGTGCTTGGTGATCCCAAAGGGGATTCCCAGCCGGCACTGCCCTCCGCTCCCACCACACACACAGCCTCATCTGTCCTCTGTCCCACCCTCTGAGACGTGACGGGAGGAACAGGTCCTGGAAAAAGGGGGCCTGCAGAACTGTCGGAGCTGTGAGCACCTCCTCCACCTTCCAGGGGCCCTACACACACAGGGTCTTATTTATCCCCTCCCACCCCATTAAGCTCGGTGCTATTGTCAGATGAGGACGCCAGGGCCCAGAGAAGGACAGTGGCTTGCCCAGGGTCACACAGCCACAAACGGAGCTAGGATGAGAAGCCGCATGTGTCCAGTTCCAGAATCTGGGCACTCGACCCCCACGCTGAACTCAAGACAGGACTCAGCTCACCCTGTCGAGGCTCAGATAAGGAATGAGGCCCAGCGAGGGCCAGTGACTCGGCCGATGCCAGACAGCAAATCAGCAGCAGAGTTAGGATCAGAACCTGTGTCTCCTGGCTCCCAGGAAAATGCTTCTGGCCTTAGTCAACAGCACCATTTAGGGCCTAAGTTTCTGAAATGACCTTCCAGAAACAACCACCCCCCGGGATGAGAGCAGGGGTCTGGAATCGGGACAGTGGGAGCCCACCAGTGACCCCTCCCCTGCCCTTGGTGTTAAAGCCCGGTGGCCAGATATGGTCAAATGTCCAGCTAAATTTGAATTTCAGCTAAGCAGTGGTTTTTAAAAACTAAGTATGTCCCATACGATATACTAAAAATCAGTATTTGATGTTTAGCTGAAATGCATCCTTAACTGGGTATCCTGTTTTCCCGTTTGCTAAGCCTGGGAAACACTATGTTAAAAGGACAGGAGAAAATGGGATCTCAGCTGGCCACCCAGATCCGAGAGAACCAGCCCCACGCCAGGGCTCCCGATAGGACTCAGAGCCAAGGTCTGGCCTCCAAGCGTCCTGGTTCCCCCTCCTCAGCCCTGTCACTGGGGCCCCAGGCCATTCAACCAGACTGGGACAGCACAGGAACTGAGACCCAAGAGGCAGTGGGAGCTCAGATCCCACCTTGTGACAGACTCCCCAGCCCCCACCTCCTCTGAGACGGGGACTCCCACCCTGAGCCCCTCATCTGCTGGGGCTCCAGTGCCCTCTGATCCAGCAGGAATGGAGTCCCTAGACAGTTCCAGACAGGATGGAGTCCAGCGAGAGTATCAGAGCCGGAAAAGCCCCCTGAGATCCCCAACTCCAGCTCCCTCCGTGGCCAGGTAGGGAAAATGAGACCAGGCCAGGTCCCTGGGCCCCCGTCTGGGCAGAGCCAGGACAGGTCAGAGACTTGGGCCAACAGGGGAAGCTGATTCTTCTGGGGCCCCTCAGATGTCACCATGGCTCCCCTCACCGCCGACACCATCATCATCGTGGCAAAAACAAGCCCGGGTCTTGTTCTAGGTTCCTGTCCTTTATTAACTCCTTGCATCATCCCTCTGAGACTCGCTCCTGATCCCAATCACCCTGGCCGGCCTCCAAGGATCGAGCTGTCACACACCCCACACCTCTACCTCAGACAGAAGGGTTGTTGGCAAGAAACAGAGGGAGAAATTCAGGGAGGCCCGGTGCTGCTCCCCGTCTTGAGCACCGGTTCATTCTGATGTCGCACACCAGTTCCTCTCTGACGTCAGAACGCAGAGCCCGGGGCTCAGAACTAGAACCCTTACCCAGGGACTTGAGGCCAAAGACCTGACCCCGGGTACCCGGGAGAGAAGGAGCCCCAAGAAGGGCCTGATACCCTAGCTCCTCCTTGATACCCGGGCTCTCCATCCCACTCCACCTGCTCTGCTCTCAGAACACCCGCCTACCAGCACCCTCCAACGTGTTCGGTTTGTCCACCAGGAACCCACCCCATGGCCTCGGGGTCCTCCGGTGTGGCCCAGCCCTCGGCAGCCAGGTGGGTACCTCTCAATTCTCACCTGTAAACGTCCACAGACGTCTCAACCCCCACCACACACACGGCATAGGTGGGCTTCTTCAGGGACAGCCGCACAGATCTCTGCGGGGCCATCCCGTGCCCCTGGGTCCTGGGTTCTGCACTTCTTATCTCCCCAGCTCCTCTCCTGGGCACCAGGTGGCCAGGAAGGAGTGTGCGTTCTGATGGGTCGGTGCTTTCCTCCTCCCTTTTAATTTCACCCTGTGACCTGATTAGCTGTCTAAGCTGAGTCCCCACCTCCTGGCTGCATGCCCAGCCCTCTCACTCAGGCCTGCCAATCCAGGAGACCAGGGGAGGAGGCGCCCCAGGTCTCTCAGAGAGATGGGAAGTGGGGGCTTCAGTCGGGGGCTCCAATGGAGCAGGGCTCAGCTGCCACCAGAAGCTCCCCGGGGGCCCTGTCTCTCCTTCCCTAGCTTTGACTCCATCCTCAGACTCTCGGCGCGTGAACCCTCACTGTCATGATGTCAGCACTTTCTTAGGGCTGATAACGTACCCGGTGCAGATCTGATCTCATGCATCCAAAGCACAGGGCAGTCAGACCTCCGGGGTTCAAATCCCGGCTCGGCCTCTCACAACCTATGACCTTGGGCTTCCTGTGGCTCCCTTTCCCGGCCGTGAGATGGCAGTTGTACCCGTTCCATTGGACTGACGTGGGGATGCGTGAGCTACGCGTAAAAGGTTTCGCACGGTGCCCGACACCTAGCATCGGCTAAAACAAATGCTTGCCACTCTTCCCAGTAGCCTCATTTTACAGGGAAGAGGATCCACTGTCAGTAAGTGGGACAGCCATGGCGGACACCCAGGTCCTCCTGACTCACTAAACCACCCCCAGAAGGTGAGGGTATAGCCTTGCACCCCAACTCCAGAGATGGCAGCAGAAGCCCCCCCGCCGGGGAACACCCCTAGCCAGCCAGTGGGGAGGGCAGCTCCGAAGGAGCTCAGAGCAAGGGGCTGGGGGAGGGCTGATTCCTTCCTCAAAATCCCTTCCTTGCAGCCCCGCCTGTTCTCAGGGTGTCGTGGAATCCCGGTCACTCACTTGACAAGCGTTCGCGGAGCACCTGCTCCGCAGTAGGCACTCCTTTAGGCGATGGGGACGCAGCCAAGAAGCAAACAGACCACAGTCCCTGCTCTGATGCGTTGACATTCTGGGAGCCACCATAAGAGTTGAGACGATGGTGGCTTGGTCCTGGGCGCAACCGTGAGCATGGGGAGGAGCGCCTGGATTCGGAACGTCTCCAGAGGTCCGGGCTGGGAAGGCTGGCGGGCAGGCTGGGTGTGGGGGCTCGAGAGAAAGGGGGGAGTCGGGGATGACGGGAGTGCTTGGACCTGCAGCTGCTGGAAGGAGAGAGCTGTCATCAGAGAGACGGGGAAGGCTGGGGGTGGGCAGGGTGGGCAGGGGGCTCCTGGCCAGACAGGAAGTGTCTAGTCGACCTGTGAGGACAGCAACCCTTTACAGGTGCCTGGCTCCCTTCACAGTGGGCGTCGAGGAGGAGGAGGAGGGGAGTTCCCTCAATGTCCCCTGGGCCACAGGGCCCTCTCGTTCGCGGGCAGCCATTGCACGGGGCAGAATCAGGATGCGCAACCAGGACAGCCGCTGCCCACAGGTCTGGGGTGGGAAGGACGGCAAAGAGAGAGGGGGAGAAGGAGGAGCACCCTTGCCTGGGGAGCTGCCAGTCTGACGGGGCAGGAGGGGGACACCGTCCCTGCTCCGGGAACCTCCCACCCGAGGAGAAAGACAGGAAACATAAAAATGGTATAAGCATTTATGTGGTTACTTTTCACTTGGAAGATCTTCCTGAAACGTCTTCCTTATGGCCAACACATCTGATGGCAAATGTTCTCCATCTGCAAAGCTCTTTACACCCAATGGCACTGATGCAAAGTCTAGGTTTACCCCCCGTGGACACAGAGCCTAGCAACACAACGCTCTGGGGGTGCACGGCAGTTCCCACCCCCAGTAACCAGAACCTGAGCCATTTGCTTCCTATGTAATTAACGCGGAGTGTAAGAAGCAGGCTCGCAGAGAGCACGTGGGAATATTCCCATTAGAGAAGGATGGATGGACGGACGGGCAGATGGACGGATGTAAGGGAAAGAGGGAGGAAGGGAAGAGTGCAGGTTGGCGATGAAGAGCTTTCTGCAAAATGACGGTGATGATGGTGACAATGGCGAGGAGATGCTAGCAGACACCTGTCTAGCGCTGACCGTGTGCCGGGCACTGTTCTCAGCCCCTTCCGTGTCGTCACCCACCTCATCCTCCCCACAATATTAGGTGGCAGGTACCAACTAAGCCGGGAACCCAAATTCAAACAGAAGACAGCATGGGTGTACAGGATGTGCCTTTTGCGGGTTGTGGGTGGGGCAGGGGCCCGGGCAGGTCATGGTGGCTTAAGGGACATGTTCTCGGGGCCAGAGGAAAGAGGGAGGGAGTCGCAGAGAGTGGGCAGAGAGCCTGGGAGGAACATCGAGCATTCCCATTTTACAGACAAAGAAAGTGAGGCACAGAGAAGCTAAGGGACCCCCTCGAAATCTGCCCCCGGAAAGCGGTTGCGCCAGGATTTGAACCCAGGCCATGTGACCCTGGATTGGCTCTTAATTGTTGACTGGATCCCTGAGAGACAGAACCTCAGGGTTGTTGTTGTTTTGTCTTGTTTTGTTTTGATCTTCTTCCTTATGCTTTTGTGTATTGTTTGAAAGTTTTGGTAAGCAAATGTTTTTATTATTGGAGAAAAAATGAAGTCTCTCTTCAAGAAAAAATGAGGAGACTGGGCGCCTGGGTGGCTCAGTTGGTTAAACATCTGCCTTCGGCTCAGGTCGTGATCCCAGGGTCTTGGGATCAAGTCCCACATTGGGCTCCCTGCTCAACTGGGGAGTCTGCTTCTCCCTTTCCCTCTCCTTCTGTGTGCACCCGCGTGCTCTCTCTCTCTCTCTCAAAGAAATAAATCTTAAAAAAAAAAAAAAAAGAAGAAGATTTTCCTGCTCTGGGCTTCCCTGCCCCCATCCCTGTTTCCTCCGGCTCTGAGAACATGTCCCTTCAGACACCATGACCTGCCTGGGTCCCTGCCCTGCCCACAACCCACAAAAAGGCACATCCTGTACGCCCATGCTGTCGTCTATTTGAACTTGGAATCTCAGGCTTGATTGGTCAAATTTGGGAGGAGCAGGGGTGGGGGGCCTGAATGACATCATTACCCCCTCCCCTCTGGCAGGTAGAACCTTCAGCTGGGAGGACCTGCCCAGGGTAGCCTCAAACACAGCCCCTCGCAAAGGGAGAGGCCTGTCAGCTACTGGGTGACCGTGGGACCCTAGCACGACTCCAGGATGCCCCCGGAACAGCCCGGGGCACAGCAGCAGGGAGGATGTCCGGTGCTGTTGCTACCAGGTCCGGGGACGCATTTTGCCCATTCTCCAACAATCATTTCGAGCACCTGCCGTGCGCCAGACATTATTCTTGGCACTGGTGATACAGCGGTGAATAAGACCAAGTCCCTGCCCTCACGGGACATACAGAGTAGCAAGAGAGACAGGGAAGACACTGCAGGACAGAGATTGGGACGTCAGGAGGTAATGAGACCCAGTGAAGCAGGGTAGAGGGGCAGAGGGAGTGGGGTGCTGTTTGCGTCGGCTGATCGGGGAAGGCCTCGCTGGGGAAATGATATCGGAGCAGAGATCTGAAGGGCAGACCTCAGGGACCTCGGGACTCTTCCAACCTCAGGTAACCTAGCATCCCATTAACCCGGGAGCCCCCACCTCCCGTCTTCCCCATTCACAAGACGGGACCGTGGGGCTAGCGCAGAGCTTCCAGACTGAGATGCCTTCAGGGGTTGGGCAGATAATAAATGTGGGAAGCTGCCAGGTGCAACACAGCAGGAGGGGTACCAACTGCGGCAAAGGGAGTAAAACCTGCTTTGCCTAATGCATTAAAATTCGGTATTTCTTAAAAAGAGAACAACGATAGGTGAAGCCTATAGCATAAGCAGATCTGGCCCTCGGGCCATTGTTTGAGACCCCAACATAGACTATTTAAAAACTAGTGGATGGGGTGGGGGGGATGGAAGGAATAACTCAGGTTGGGGAAGTCATTTGATAGACATTGGTAGAGTTGTGGGAAGCCGAGCCTGGGTCCAAGGTTCTCAGCCATTCGTTGAAGAAAACGAGTCCTGGGTGCTTCTGCATACAGGTGCTGTTCTGGGCGTCAGAGTACTCACTACCCGTCGAGCCCTCTCAGCTCCTTACATTGACTCATCCCTCTGGGATCTCCCAGGGCAGAATCCTGGACCCCCTGTGGGCCTCAGGGGCTCTAACTCAACCATCTCGAGCAGGCAGGGGACCCACCGATTCCCACAGGGCCAGAGGGCCTAGGGCCAGCGGCTCTAATAGCAGGAAGTGGCAAGCGCCATGAGTCACCCAACTCAATGGGCACATCCCGAGAGCCTGAAACCCAGACCCAGGTCTCTGTTGGGCACCACGGATCTTCAGGGATCACTGACTCCCTCCTCGGCTCTGGGACGCCCCAGGCTCCACGTGGCAGTTAATGGCATCCGGTGCAGGGCTGGGCTGGGCATGGAGGGGCCCAGGGGGCTTGTGGTCAGGTACGGCCAGCCCCACCCCCACAAGTGGTCGATTCAGCAGCCCCCCAGGCACATCACCTCCTTCCCTGCCCTCCACTGGCTGTCCACCCTCCCCCTCCCTGCCTGTCTCAGCAAATGGCACAGCCTCCACCCCAGGTACCAAACCAGAGACCCAGGCAACCTCTTCAGTCTTCCTCCTCCCTCATCCCCAGCATTCAGTCACCCCACCTGACTCATCAGCTCTACCTCCCAAACCTCTCTGGCCTCATCCCTTCCCCTCCACCCTCACCCCCCACCCTAGTCCCAGCCAGGACCTGAGCCCGCCTCCTGCTTTCCCAGCCCCCAGGCTCACTTCATTCTGCACTGCAGGCAGTAGCGATCTGTCTGAAACATACATCTAATCTGCCATCCCCCGTGGGCTCCCCTTAAGACTGCTCCAGCATCTTGCGGCCCCCGGATAAAGGAGGGCAGCTGGATGGGAAAAGTCTAGACCCTGGAGCCCTACTATCTGTGGTTCCAGTCTGGGCTCAGTCATTTCTCAGATTTCAGAGCACTGGGCAAATGATTTAACTTTTTTGAGACTTAGTCTCCTAATTTGTAAGGTCTGGAATAACGTAGAAGTTTAAAATGACGTCTGTAAAGTGTCTGGGATATAGGCGATCCTCAAAAAATAGAAACTTCACCTGACATTCAAGGCCCCCCAGACCAGGCCCCTGACAACCACTTCTTCACTCTGTGCTTGACCCCTGTTCTGATCTTATTTCTCTGGCCGCTCCCCCACACTGCTCCCCCGGGGATTTGTCCCCTGACCTGGGGGTCTCCATAAAGCTCTGTCCATCACCAGCCTTCCTGCCTTCCCCTCCCCCATTTCCACCTCCCTTCCTCCAGTGCCCACTCCAGGCAAGACTCAACATTTCTACTTCTTTCATGGATTTTTATCCCACATCCTAATAGAAAGAATTTGAGACAGCTTACAAAATACACCGAGTAAAATTATTTTTCAAATGAGAAAATTAGGTCAAAGAGTGGGAAAAGAAAGTAAAAGACAAGGATGAACTTCTGTCTGGTTGGTAGATCTGGCAGTGAGTTCCCTGGTGGCCCACAAGAAAAGGGAAATATAATCAATTTCATGAATCATGGTGCCCACAGGATACAACTAAACCAGTTGAAGAAGAGAAGCCCAATTCTTCCAGGCCCTGAAAACTAAGGGACATTGCCCCCTTCCATCCCCAAGTGGAGTTTACTAAACAGGGCAAGCGTGGGATTTTGAACTAAATGATCCATAGCATCCTTGTGGTTGGGTCTGGCTTGGTCCATGGGTGTATTTTGGGGTGGGGTGTCATAGAAAAGTGTGCTTGGTATCCTTCAGACCCTCCTCAATGAATATTCTTCATTTTATCCCAGCCTTTGATTAAATGGGGAGCGGCAGGGAATTTGGGGATCCCCTCCCTGATGATGGCTCTTTCTCATAGCTGCTAGAGTAGAGATCCAGTATCGTCCAGTGTCAGCCAACCTGGCTGCAGGTGAGGTCCCACCATGAGAATCAGAGTCTAGCACCTTCTACTGGCTCACTCAGAGCTGGGGAATCGTTCCCGGAAAGGGGGTGAGGGACGGTACCTCTGCTGGGCATCGCCCAACGCTTCACGTCTTGGCAGACACTCCCAGATAACTTGGTCCACCTGCCTCATCAAACACATGGAGACAGAGAGGCCCAGAGAGGCCCAGGGAGGGAGAGCAACTTGCCTCAAAATACACAGCCTCCTAGAGGCAATGTGAAGTAGAAGACAGGGAATCAACCTCAGAGTGAGAAACTTGGGTTCTCAGGCCTCCTGAGAGAGGTCCTTAAAAAAACTCTTCTTCCCTCTAGGGCAGCCCTGGCCACCAGGGACACTGCATCTAGATCTGGCCTGCACAGCTGCTGTAAGATACCACCTCCCCAGACCCCCGGTGGAGAAACCACTGTACAGAAGAGCCCAGCATCTTTCCCCCACATCGCTCACTCGTATTTATGCAACCAAGATTTCTTGGGCAGGTCCACCATGGGCCAGGCCATGAGTAGAGAACAAGACCTAGCCGCAGACTGCCTTCTCGGGGAGCACGGCTAATGGGGAATGTGGGTGTGTGAACGTGTTGCTCTGAGGACACTTTCCAAGAGCCACAACAGGGAAACGTGCTGAGGCCCGGGGACGCCGGGTAATGGTGGGAGCCAGAGTTTATTGAGCACTTACAGGGCGCCGGCTCGGTGTGTAAGACCTCTCAGGCACCGTCTTGCATTCCTGGAGCAGACTGAGGCAGCAGAGGAGGAAATGTAGTCTGAGGTCTCCCGTGAACGAAGATGGAAACAGAGCCGCGGCCCCGTCTGTGGGACTCCGAGCTTGTGTGCTCATTGCCACATTCTACCATCCTTGGTGCTTACAGGCTGCAGGGGCCACTGGCCTCGCCCCTCCTGCGGCATCACACACACACACCCCCCCACCTTCTGCCCTGGGGAGGCGAGAACATCCTGTGTCTGGCACAGAGGCCAGATGGCAGGACCCAAGAGACCCCCCAGTCCTCAATGCCTTACACCATTAAGACCATTTGGGTCCCAGCCACCCAACTCTGTGTGTCTGGCACCTTCAAACCCTGGAGGCTTCCACAACATGAGCCCCGGCCATCTGGCCCCTGCTGGCCTTGGCCTGGCCTGAGCCCTGGGCCTGGGGGCGAGCCCAGGGGCAGACACTCACCTCAGAGAGGACCCTGATGGCCGGGGGCTGGGGGCCGGGGGCCGGGGGGGGGCACATACTCTCCTAAAATGCAGGGAAAGAGGAGGTTTTCGAGATAAGCCGGACATTTAGAGGTTTACACTGAAAACAGAGCAGAGTGGACACTCAGGACCAAGCACGGTAGGGGCGCAAAGCCCACCTGCTCACCCACCTCCCTCCGGCAGTACCTGCAACCCTTGATCAGGAGCCTGGGGCTCTGCAGATCTTCTCAGAAAGCCACTGGCCTGATTTGTCACCACTAATAAGCCCAGAGAGGGCCAGCAATTTGTCCAAGGACACACAGCCCATTCTGTTTCCCCCAGACAGGGAAGGAAGAAGGAGCATTGGGGGTGTGGGGAGGGGGGTCAACAGCTGGACAAGTTGTACAAACAGTGGACAGAGCAGGTCCAGGTGGCAGGTCCAGCCCTGGCCCATCATTCATTGGCTGGGTGACCAGGGGCAGCCATTTGACTCCTCTAGGACCCCTGTTCCTCACTTCTGTCCCTTTGTTCTCTGGGTTGGACTTTCTTTGTCTCCGTCTCTCTCCGTTTCTTCCTGTCTCTGTGCATCTCTCTGTCCCCTCTCCCCCCACTTCTCTCTGGAAGAGCATTAGGGGTGTCAGGGAGTCATCTTTGGCCTCACCTGCAAAATTATTATGTGCACGTTTGGTCCAAGTGCTAGGCTTTGCAACACGTCCCCCGTGACACCTCCCAGGTGGTGGCTGTGCTCATCCCCACTCTGCAGATGAAGACACTGAGGTCATGTTTACAAAGCACTCGGCATGGGCCAGGCCCCTGGCGGCCCCCCCGCAGCCCACTTCCTCCAGGAAGCCGTCCCATACACCTGCCTCTGGCCTCTGGCTCCCACGGAATGTTCTGTTCTCTAAGTAGCCCCTCGCCCCCAAGGCTCTGTCCTGGGGAAACCACCTGTTTTAACACCATTTCCCTCATCACCCTGGCAAGACTACATATTTCAGAGGGTCAGGAACAGGGAGTGGCCAGGCCTTCAGCTCTGGGAGATCAGGAAGCTGGCTTTTGAATGAAAAACAGTCGAGACTCACGGTGGTACAGGCGTTCTCGGCCATCAACCCACAGCCGGGCAGCAACCCCAAGTTGTCCAGGCAGGGATTCCAGCCACCCCTTGAGAGAGCCCCTGGGGCTCCATCGCCCCGACAGTGGGGCTGGGTCGGGCAGCCTCGGGGAGCACAGTGTGGTCTGGGAGCCGAGCTCCAGCTTCTTCCCCACCCCGGCCTGGCCCTGTGGCGCAGTGAAGCCAGAGGGGCCTCCAGAGAGAAGTAGGGGGAGAGGGGACAGAGAGATGCACAGAGACAGGAAGAAACGGAGAGAAATGGAGACAAAGAGAGTCCAACCCAGAGAACAAAGGGACAGAAGTGAGGAAGAGAGGCACGGAGAGCAGCAGGAACAGAGAAAGACAAACTGAAAGACAGAGGGAGGGACAGAAATCGGAGAGAATAAGAGAGACTGAGGTGGGAGTACAGGAACGAGGCCCCGGGGCAATGCAGATGAGAACCCCGGAGCTCTGCTGCGTGCTAGAGCCCAGGCAGTCTCCTCTTGAGCCCCCGCTTTCCCCAGGGCCTCCCTTTCCTCAGGCCCCCTGCTGCCGCCCTCGGACATGGAGGGATCACCTACTTTGCACCTGCCCTGGATGCTGGGGACACGCCCCCCCTACACCTCCCACATCATGGCTGTATGTATCCCCACTGGGCAGATGAGGAAACTGAGGCTAGGAGCCATCAGGTTAGTCAGACAATCAAACTGGACGCACCACTGCGAGGGTGCAGGAGGGAGGGCAAGGGACAGAGAGACTGAGGCCCAGAGAGGGGAAGGGACTGGCTCTGGGTCACACAGCAGCCAGCCACAGAGCCAAAGCTAGAAGCCAGGTCCTCTGGCACTTGGCCTGGCTGCGAAGAAAACAAAGTCAATCATGTTAAGTCTTTGGCAAGCAGGTTCCAGGTCTTCCCAGATGGCCTGCAGCCAACACCCTAAAAGCTGTCGACACCCGCTGCATATCCTTCTTGCTTACCTCTTGCTATCTTTTTTGGGAAGGGCAGCTCAGGAACCTCCCAAACTTGTCCTCTCTCTTAGGAACCCGGCCTCAGTCGGGGCATCTCCACCTCCCCAGTCCCTGCCTTCCAGCCTGGACTCCCATGCAGAACTAAGTGACAAGAGAAAGGGTGGCTCTTCTGACACCCCTAACTTTCGCTGACATCAGCTAAGCGTGAGCTCAGGCTCGCCACCATGTCCTGATGGGTCCGCCCATAACACGCAAAACCAGGGCAGAAACCAGGGGAGAGGTCAGCAGGTGAGCACATGTTTACCCACTGGGACTTGTGGAGTCAAGGAAATTTCTAGAAGCAGTGTTCACTGCAAAGAATGCAAAGTCCCAGCCCAGAAAACAAACACAGGGAAACCTTTCTTTTCACCCCACCTGAGTTCTGAAGAAATTCTGAGGAAGAAATTCTCCTTGATAAAACGTTTCCAAAGAAAATCACGTTAGCATGGTGAAAGGAACGGGCTTCTCACCAACTGCGTTCTCTCTCATGCTGAACGTCTGTCTGCTGCTCCACCCGAGGGAAGCTCTCTTGAGGGCAGGGGCACATCACAGGCCCTGGCACCAGCAGGGCCTGGCCAGTCATCCCTGAGGCTCCTGGAATGACCAGTGACTACATGAATCATGTTTCCATGGAGAGGAGACAATACTCATAATCTGCGTATCTGACAAAGGACTCACGTCCAGAATGTATGAAAAATGCCTGTAAATCAACACGAGAAAGAGAAACCACCGGCCCTGTGTAGTAAGGAGAGCGGGACACAAAATTCACATGCCACCGATGTTAAGCAGGGGACTTCAAGGAGAGTCTGTGCTCACTGCTGGCACCCCCCTGGGCCTTTACTCAGGGCTCAGGCTTGGAAAGCCTCACGTAAAGAGGGGCAGGGCTGCAGAGCCAGGGAACGAGGAAAACAGGAGTATGGATGAGGCCAGAAGCAAAGGTAAAAGGCGCAGGCAGTCTTCCCAGGCTGGCCCCACGCTCACCCCTGAGTTATCCAGGCTCAGTGCTAACCGTGCGGGGTGTGGGGAGGGGGGTTCTGTTCACCCTCGGATTGGAGGGGAGGCTCCCTAAGACCACAGCTGCAAGAAGCAGGCAGGCAGGGTGGAAGGGGCACTGGGCCAGGAGTCAGGAGCCCCGAGATCTGGGGCTAACACGCCGTACGCTGACTGGCCGGGGCGGGGGCGCGGGGGGGCCGTGTTGGGCACCAACTCGATGACCTTGGTCTTTACATCCGGAGGAGAGGATTGGGCAGCTGATCCTCAGAGCACTGCCAGTGCCCACTCTGAGAGCAGGTGAGGCACATCCCTCTTGCTACCCCTCCCCCACCCGCTCCCCAATAGCATCCCAGGGCCCCCAGCCCCAGTGACACCCCCCAGGCAAACCACAGTGAGGCCAGTCAGGGTTTGGCCGAGTCAGAGAGCCAACCAGCCCCAACGCGGGCCCAAAGGACCCAGCCCGACCCTGGACCTCTGCCCTGGGAGCGCCCAGCAACAGCGTGGCCTGGCAAGGTGGGCACCTCGTCCTGGGCCGCTGCACATCCCCACGGGCCAGCCACACACCAGCAGCCGCCCACAACACGGTCCTCCTGGGTGCTGGCTGTGAAGGAGAAAGGCAGGGGACAGTGGGAGCCCCCAGTCTGAAGGGGTAGGCACAGACCATGCTCTGCAGGATCCCCAGACTGAGCCTGCCTGTCCCTCAGGAGTTTTCTCTCTGATGGGGGAGGCACAGCCCCTACCCCCACGAAGCTTCCAATCTGATGGGGGGGGCACAGCCCCTACCCCCGAGAAGCTTCCAATCTGATTGGGGGCATAGCCCCTACCCTCGAGAAGCTTCCAATCTGATGGGGGAGGCACAGCCTCTGACCACATGGATCAGCTAGTCTGATGGGGGAAACACAGCTCCTACCTTATAGGAGCTAAGGGTTAGGCAAAGCCCCTCTCTCCCT